AAAGCCGAGAAAGCTTTCAAAGGTTGAAACCAGGAATATTACCAAAACACTGAACAGGATAATATATAGATTTAGCCAGGGCTAAAAGTGAAGCTTCCATTAATAAATTTATGATTTAAATCAAACAATAAACTTGTAATCCACAAATCAGTTAACTTAAGGGCACATATGTGACTTTTTAGGGAAAGCTAAGGCTAAGTGATTTTAGAGTGAAAAAAAATCTTTCATCGAATTGATAACCGGTATATATACACCCCAAAAATAGCAATCATCGTCGATCACATTTAAGAGCCATAATAGCTCTTGATCACAGTAGATTAGGCCTGGAAAACGAATTCATGGAAAAAACAAATCAGGCCGAATTTTTTGCGTTCGACAAGTTTACGTAACAAAATCTTGCCAACAACTCTGGGAGCGTGTAAACCAACATTTCATACTTTTTATGCATCACATCTGAGGTGAAACAGTAATATGAGGCGCTGTTTTTATCATACAGACCTCAGACAAAATGTGGTATTTCACAATTTTTCAAGACAAATTGCACTCATTCAATATTCAGAACCGTACGAAGCACGCGTGGGCTTTTAGCAAAACCGTTCAAAAAATTTCCAAAATCACCTATACGGCCAGCCAGTTGTCACTTTTGACAAGCGCCAAATTTTCAGTGAACATTAAAAGAGTTACGCTTCAACATAATAAAGAATTTATTGTTTATTTTTTTTATTTAATGGTTTTATAACGATGTGCAAACGCGCGGCATTTTGAGTACTCCTGCAAGCGTTGTCTCTGAACGACTGAAAACAAACCGCAAAGCGATTAAAATTGCAAGAGACAACTAACAATAGTAGTACATAGGGCCTATATTGGTCCTAACCAATCAGAGCGCGAGAAAGACAATAGGGGTATTGTTTTTGAGGGTCACGTGACTCATTAGCATTGGAAGTCATCACTTGTGTTCACGTGACCCCTTTCGACCAATCAGCGTGCAGCTGTCTGGCATGGGGAATAGAACATACGCATTCATACGAAGACCCCTAGTTGCGTGGTGGTTGGACGCATGCGCAGTTCGGCCCCAGGCTTTTGCCCTGCGCAGTCACGTGAATGGGATCGTAGGCAAATGCGCAGACCGCCAAACTACTCCCCAGGTCCCCCGCATTCATATGAGCGCATTTCCGCATAGACCTACTGCGCATGCGCAAACACTCAAAACAAGCCCCAGACCCCTCGCATCACCGGAAGTCAATGAAAAACTCACGGTATTGAGGTCAAAATCATCTTTTTGGATTTAATGGACTCTCGAGAAGGCCCTGGTTACAAGCGGGACGTGTGCGACGTTCTAGTGACGTCACGCCCTCCATTTTATTACAAATCCAGCAAGAGTTCCACGTCCTGCCCAATTCTCTCATAGCCGTAAGGATAACTGGATTTAGTGTCCGTGTTGATGACACGTTTGTCGAAGACGAGACCATATTGTTTGATGCGTGGAACCACTTTGATTCGTTTTTGTTCTAAATCTCTTTGAAAATAATATGGCGTTACCACATTGGTGGTACGCCGATGATCCAGTGGGTTCTCCAATTCAGCCAAAATATTGTCTTTCATGGTCTGAAAATTCAGGACAGCTGCGCCGCGAACATTCAGGGTGAATCCTCGGACCTTACACACCACTTTACCCTGCCGTGTCGTGTACCCGTAATTCTTAGCGCCCCCAGAAACGAACTCGGTGATGACGTCACCATCTAATTCGTCGGTCATGTCCCCCAGAAAATCACCTGTGGTGATGGAGGGTTGACCCGGACGCCATCGGTAGACCACACTGTCCGTGTCATAATAAAGCACTTGCTGTTGAAGAGTGTCGAGAGACTCGTAGAGTTTCAACCGGGCGTGACAGGTGGTGAAGGCCGCCACAAAGATGTTGGTTTTGGTGCCTTTGACCGCATTGTCATCGACACTGATGTAGACAGCCTCCAAGAGGTCATCGGTACACAATCGGAGAGTGCTGATGTTTAGGGCGGCATCCGAGATCAGACTGAACAAATGGGCAGGGTCCTTGACGGTGACGGTGGTGGGTTTGTTGCTCCGCTCACCAAATTTGCCCCAGAAACTGCAAAAAAAAAAACCATGAGAAGGGGTGGGATGACAACATGAAAAAGGAAAAAAAATGGAACAGGTACCTGTTGAGCATTAACTTGGCTGTGGCCTTTCGTCCAGGATTTTTGGCAATGCTGGCAATATCCAGTCGGATCCCCTCCCGCTCCTGGTAGCGAAGAATGTACTCTCGTTTTTGTTCCAAGGTCTGGCAGCAACTCGGCCACCCAGCCGACTCTTGTTTTAACTTTAACCATGTGTTGACGTAATCAGCAAAAAGACCCGTCCTGCGTTGCTCGGGGGGAAAATGCCAGACTTCGTGGATCTTGACCAGGGTGTACCCCTTTTCCACGGCTTTGACCAGCTCGGGGGTGCACCAGGTCCCGCGCAGCGTGCGATCAGCGTCGGAATGAGGACAATAATGGTGGCGACTCAACATGGGTTTGGCCTGCTCTTCCTGGACACAGGTGCGGCAGAGAGGAAAGGTGAGTTTGTTCCCACTGCGCACGGGCAAGACGGGGTGAAACAAACCAGCAAGGGGAAGAATGTCCACCGTGGCGATACCAAAATACGACCCCAGGGACTGATCGACGGGCTGCGTGATGATCTGCGCATGACCGATGGGGTAAGGGCAGTTCTTGTTCACCCACGGGTACAGGGAGGTGACGTCCAGATAGCGTATTTGCTCGCCCTCCCCAGCCACAGCATGCAGGGCCACCGCACCTGTTCGGCCCCCGAAAAAGGCCTCACGGGGTTCCAAGGGCGCGACCAAATCGAATGAACGAAGAAACTGAGACACGGCAGGCTCGTTGTCTACCAGACGGTCCCACTCACACTCCCACATTTCGATGACGGTGTAACCCGCTCGGCGCAGAGCCAAGCGTTTGGATAGAGTGGCTTGATACAGTTCCTCCACGCTTCTGTCCGGCACAGCATAATGCTTGGCTCGCCTGTTGGGATAGCAGCGGGGACAACCATGATAGAGACAACCATGAAACTCGTAGACAGTACGGGTCAGGGGATCGTACCCGTCTACGAAATAGGCATCGACGATGGTCCGGACGGACTGTTCGCCCCCGTTACGGACGTGGCGGATTCGGTCTGCACTGGCCCCCTGCTTGGGAATTTGGTGTTCCTGGTAGTAGAGCCATTGCAGGGCCTTGAGGGATGATTGACCTTCGCGCCTCGCCAGCCACCGAGAGGTTCGACCGCGATGGTGTTGGGGGTCAAATGATGCTTGCACCAATACAGATTGCAGGCACTGGCGATGGTGATGCACTTGGCCATGGGATTAAAGCCAGCCTGACGTTCAAATTCTTGCTGAAAGGCTTCACAACCCGCTTTCAACAGGGCGACATCGGACTTACAGTAGTCGATCATTTCTTGCTGGAAATGGAAGGACATATTGCGACGAACTTGGTCAGTGTGCCAACGGGTCAGTTCCTCTTTCTTTTTGGCCATCATGCCATCGGGATCGTAAAACTCCAAATCGGGGATTCGACCCACGTACTGTTGGTTGTCGGGGGTATTGTACAGATGCGGAAAGAACCCCTTCTTAATTCCGTCAAATTGAAGGTGCTTGGAAAGGACGCGAGTGGCATGGGCAAGAAACACAACGAGTTGATGAATTTGAGGGGTGCACTCTTGAAGGACAGGACTTTGGCCCCCACCGTCAGTTGGTCTGCCACCTCACGTTGTTGCTGGTACAGTTCGTGGAGAATAAACATGCCGTCGAAGCCTTTCAAGTTGTGAAACACCACGAGAATCTCCCGCTCGTCATCCCTGTCCGGTACCTCGGTGAGATCATCCAAATCGTGCAAAAACTGCAGGGCACAGTCCTCCCCGTCCAACACATGGATGGTCGCTTCTTCGCTGGACGAATAACACAACAAATTAGCCACAAACACGCCCTCCGCATTCTGCATGGCTTCAAAATCGGCGTAAACAAACAGGGGAGGGGGTGGCGCCACCATTCAACCTCCCCCCTCCTCTGTTGGTTCTGGCTCCTCTTCCTCCACCACGGGTTGAATGTAACACTTGTGGTCCTGGATGGACACCCATTCCTGACACACGGGGCATTTGGCGTGCCCACACTTGTGACGTCGGTCGGGAACGACAGTGTACTGGGCTTGGCACTTGAGACAGGTTTTGACGGATTGACATTGCTTGGTGACCACATGATGACGTTTGCAATAGGCACCGTAAAACTTGCAGTGACACAGGGTGCAATAATCCGTGGGCCGGGTACCACGCACATAATAAAGACAGTCAAATCGGCCACACGCAGAGCAACGTTTCCCTTGACAGGTATGATTGGTCCTATCGTTGGTGTTGAACCCCCGTTCACAGTCCACGCAATAATACGAACGGTTGACGAAGGCAGGAAACGACGTGCAGGCATCAAAATGATCATTGGATTTCAATAAACGGATCTGATGGGGGGCAGCGGGTCCTTTGAAAATCAGAAAGAACGGTTTCATCCGGGTAATCACCAAGAGTTGGTATTGGGGACCCAACGCCTGTTGAAATTGGCGAAGCTCTTCCAAGCCACAGGGACCCTCAGCCACTCCCGCTTCAGGATGTAAGTCTTGGGCTTGATGTTGCTGCACAGGACGCCCACGCTTTAAATTGTCCCAGTCGCGAAACCCATCCACCCCTTGATCTTTGTGGCAGTGCGCTCGCATGGTGACAATGGCGCGAGCACAGCATAATGCATCTCTGTTTTGGATGGTGACGATGCATCGTTTCTTCTTATTTTCTCGATCCAGACACAGACGACCAGGATTGTGCTTTTTTTTACGATGACCTGAACCTGGGCCTGGCATGGACACAAACACGACATCCACTTGGAACCCGCGATCAGGATTGAACGCTTCATTGCTATTCAACTTGCCTGCCAACGTGGCTAACATCTCATCCAAGCGAGCGGTGCGTTACAAAAACTCTCCCACGGTGAAATTAGCTGTTTGATAGGCGTGGGTGAATCCATGGGCCGTGATGACAAAATTGACAAAATGATGGGCGGGTCGCTGCTCTCGGTCGAGTTCCGTCTCGATGGCATGATGCAACGCTTCAGTTAAAGCCATCCCAATATTATCCCCAGCTACAGGATCCCGCAATTGACGCAATTGCGCATTGAATTGCGCCCGCTCCACCACCTCGCGCCAGCGGCGTCGTCGGCCAATAGGTTGCATATGGAATTGAAAGAGAGGGCCTCGGGCAGAGCCGCCTCCCAATTGTTCCCACCGGTCAAACGCTCGGTCCAACAGGGAATCCTCGTCATCGTCTTCGTCAGTAAAGTGATACAAGAGGTCGTCCGCCATGACGGAGCAGACAATTTGAATTTTTACCGCGCCAGACGCTGGCCTTTATAGACTGAAAACCACGTGATGTCACATGAGCGTCAGGAGAATGGTGGAAGGGACTCAGGTGAAATCACGTGAGCGTCAGGAGAATGGTGGAAGAGACTCAGGTGATGGTCAGGTGAGGGGCTTTTGTAGACCAAAAAAAACACGTGATATCACATGATCGTCAGGAGATTGGTGGAAGGGACTCAGGTGAGGGTCCGATGAGAGTCAGGTGAGGGGTTTGATCAACAGGAGGAAGATCAGGGGTGGTCCCCCCATGGGTACCAGATTTCCTCCACCCGCACCATCCCTGGACCGAGCACGGTGATTGGCGGACAAGACGATAGATATAGACAAACACCCTACACAGACGTCAGTTGTGTTCGATATGCCCAAAAAAATCCCGAGAAGGCGAAACAACTGAAGCACGAGTGGTATATGAAAAACAGAGAGACCCTGTTGCAACGGAAACGTGAACGGCGGGCGGCCCAGAAGAAGCTCAAACCACCACGTCCGCCCAAACCAGCACCAACACGAGAACAGAAAGCCAAAGCCCGAGAGGCGAACCGACTGGCCTGTAACCGATACCGAGCCACGCATTTGACCCAAGTGCGTCACCTGAATCGGGACTATTACGACCGGAACCGCGAGCGAATTGTGCAGCAACAGCGGGACCGTCGTGCCAGGGATCGTCAGAACAAGCAAGCCCCTTTCCGAAAGTTACGTGCGTTGGCGGACTTGTGTGCCGCCCGATTACTGGAATTGGAGCATGGATACGCCAGGATTGAGCCAGCCCAAGAAAAGGGACCCCGAGAAAAATAAGATCAATCAAAAACTGTATCGGCAGCGCAAGTATGCCGCCTTAAACGGGATAGAGGACGCGAAGGCCCTTCACCGTCGACGCTACCACGAGCGCATGGCCCGTATGAAGGCGAACGGGGAGTACGAGGCATTCAAGGCGAAAAAGACCAAAGAGGGTATGCGACGCTACCATGCCATGTCAGAGGAGAAGCGGAATGAGGTGAGACGTAAGAACGCGCAAATGCAAAAGAACTGGATGCAGAGAATGAAGGATGAGGGGACCTACGAGGCCTACAAACAACGCCTGAATGTGCGGCGGCGAGAGTTGCAGGCGGAGAAAAAACGAGCCTTGGGTGACGAGGGGTGGAAAGCCTTGCAGAGACAGAGATATGAGAGGCGTGTGGGAACGATTCGGCGTCAACGTTGGCAATGGTTGGACGAGCAATTGGACCGTCCCTTTCCCCTACCGTGGTTGCCACTCGACTGGGCCGACTCCGAGCCTGAGGAGGAAGACAGAGTGCAAACGATTCGTGCCGATGCGTTGCAACAAATGGACCACTATTTGTAAGAACAAAATGAGTTTATTAAAACAGGTGACTAGGCAATTCAACAAGGTTGTCTTTTATGACTGTGTTAACATAAGGGTTTTACATGCCCAATCTGAGTTTGGTTTTCATAATGCGTCTAACAATGCGTTCCGTCAGGGTTTTGCGGCCGGGGAGTTTATCAATCTTTGCAATCATCTTGCGATCAGCCTCCCATTTATCTTTCAAGTCCTCGGCCTTGTCATAGTCGATGTCATGGGCTTTGGCAATCCTGTCTAACCGGTTGATGCCGGGATCCCCACGGGCCAATCGTTTTTTCAAATGGGTGCCGGGTCCCATATACTGATAGCCGGGCCAATGAAATTCAATGCCCGTCTTGTTGAAGAGGTTTTGCATATCAAATAACTTGCCTCCACGTTGCGATCGTCGTCGACGTCGCCTCTGTTGGGAACGGGGCGCAGCACGGCGTCTCTGAGTCCGTCCCATCACGGGGTTTTCCACGTTTTCTACTCCAAGGCTTTCTTGGCCAGACTTTCGGCTTTCTTTTTGGCGGCGTCAGTGGCTTTTTTGCGAATCCCGCGCTTGACCGCTTTCTTGATAGATTCCACACGTTCACTGGGGGTATCCCAGGGTTCTACACCGTACGTGTCTGAAAAGGGCAACTCTGCGCTGCTCACCTGGGGCGTGAACTTGAGTTTCTTTCTGGCACTGGGAGTGATGTTCGGTTTGGGCGGGACAGGTGGTTTTCTGGGTCCTGCAGGCGTGGTACCCTGTTTTATACCCTGGGTCGCCTTGAGCAATTGCGTGAACCACGCCTGCATAGGGCCCGCCGCAAAATCATCGTCGCCAGGGGTCGTGGCCCCTGTTGCGCTCACACCACCGGTCGGGGCCCCAAACGGTTGGCGAACCTTTTTGGTCCAATGGCGTAAATGACGGCTCACGGCTTTGAGTTGAGGTCGTTTCCAAGCATCTGGGGCATCGCTGGTCAGGAGCACATGTTGTTTGGCGGCCAAATCGGCGGCTTTGGGCAAGCGGGTATCTTGCGTCGCTTCTTGTGGCATAAACCTTTCCCAGGCTTCTAATTTAAAGCAAATACACTAATTCAAATCTACTCGTTATTAAGGTCCAGTAGTCAGATCATTGATGCACTGTATTTCCTACAGTCAGGGCCATAGCCAGTATGAGGCAAACCGAGGCACTTGCCTCAGTCATTTAAGGTTTGATCCTGGCAGTGTTTTGTTTCAACGTAGTCATCATAAAGACCCTGAATAGCTAGGCGGGGAATTCAACCATGGATATTGCCTCAGTCCTTATTTTTTTCTGGCTACGGCCCTGTCTATCGTCATAAAAATTCCTCTATCAACTTATGGGACAGTGTACATCTTAACAAGTGGTATTCCCTTATGCACAGCAATAAAATACCACAGGGGTCCTTAAACTAAAGATAACACCTATAAATGAGAACTATGTAGTGGTTGGATGGCTGTAAATTCATCTTCATTAACATTTCATGATGCTCACTTCCAAGCTGCATTAGGGAACCAAATTACCTCATTGTACGTTGGTGTAAAATAGTGTTTTTCAAGGGTTGTCATACATATACTGCAGGGTTCTTTCTATATTTCCGACAATATTAAACTGATTCTAGAATATTAGGGGCATATATCATACGGGACTTATTTGTTGTAGTTTTGACTGCCCACCTAGAGATGACCACATCTCGATGGTGGGCTTCCTAAAAATGACCACATTTTGAAAACCCAACAGCCAATACTACAACAAAATATGGTGAAACTGCTCACAATTTTATTTGAACATTAACTCAGCCGACAAATTTATGAAAGGCTAATTTTTCTTACTCTGTTGTTTGCAACCCTAAGTTTGAGTTTCACTGATTTTAATGTTGATTTTGAGTTTTACTGTTCATTAAGTACTACCTATTCAATCCAAAAAAGTCGTAGCATTTTTGCTGGCTAAAATTCACCTGAAGCCTGGTTATTAAATTTTGATCTTGGGATGCAAGGAGGATCTACAGGAGCTACCGGTCGAATGGTCAAATCCTACCCGACAAAGCCCCCCCCCCCTGCACAATAAACAATGAACAGACCTTAATTGGGTTACAGGATCACAGGAGCTCTGAGTTGGCCTTGGATCATGAAAAGTCTAGAGCTATAAAGAAAAAACTAAGGTGGTGAAACAAATTATCATGCAGCATTTATCCTTCTGGACTGGGTTGCTCAAAGATGGGTTAACATAACACAAGGTTAGGTCCAGTAGTCAGATCATTTAGTGTATTTTTTGTACATCATACTAAAAAATCAAATTTGGTCCAAAATAAAAAGTTTTGTGGATTTCAAACTCAGTGTTGTGATTATTCACTTGTACATAATTTCGTCATGGCCATTTAACCAACAAACTTAATTCAAATTAAAACCAACAATTTTAGTTTAACCGGTATTTGTTGTAGTTTTGACTGCCCACCTAGAGATGACCACATCTCGATGGTGGGCTTCCTAAAAATGACCACATTTTGAAAACCCAACAGCCAATACTACAACAAAGCATGGTGAAACTTTATTTGAACATTAACTCAGCTGACAAATTTATGAAAGGCTAATTTTTCTTACTTTGTTGTTTGCAACCCTGAGTTTGAGTTTCACTGTTCATTAAGTACTACCTATTCAATCCAAAAAAGTCATAGCATTTTTGCTGGCTAAAATTCACCTGAATCCTGGTTATTTGATCTTGGGATACAAGGAGCGGGGTTGTGGCTTCTCCAAAAAAATTCTGATGAAGAGAGGGTCTTCATATAAAGGAGCTACCGGTCAAATCCCACCCAACAAAGCCCCCCCCCCCCCCCCCCCCCTTAAAAAATGAACAGACCCCTACTGGGTTACAGGAGCTTTGAGTTGGCCTTGGATCATGAAAAGTTTAAAGCTATAAAGAAAAAACTAAGGCGGTGAAACAAATTAACATGCAGCATGTATCCTTCCAGGCTGGCTTGTTCAAAGCTGGGTTAAGATAACCCAAGGTTAGTACGAAATATGAATTCAGATATGAAAGTTTTAAAAACAAATTCATTTGAATTCCTTTTGTCTACAATTTGGTGATTTGATACTTAAAAAAAAGAGAAAATTATCTGACAAAATGCTTTTGATTAAAAGGAAAAAGAAACGCGGGTTAAAATCTAACCCTGGGTTAGTGCTAATCGGTCTTTGG